ATTTTCTTTTAATTCCAAGAGCGAGAATGTTTTTTTCTGTAACTGTAAGTGGTTTTAGAATAACTACATTTGATAGTGGCCGTGATAAAACATTTTTTTTTAATTCATGCGAATTTTGGAATTATAAATTAATTTTACCTTTTTAATGAAGTTTATAACCACTAGTTTAAACTGATTCCATATACTAATCTTTTAATAGTTTTTTATTGAACTGTAATATTTTCAGGTTGACTTTGATGTTGGTTTTTAGCCTAATTTTGGTAAATATGTTTTACATAATGATATACTAGTCTTTTTGATTCACCGCCTTTATAGTCCGTAATCTGACTGCAAAAAGTGTTTTTGCTTCAAATATGTAGTTAGGTGCAGAGAAGAGGGGTGAACAACATGCACTATGTTCCAGTGGTCTATAACGTCTATAACAATAAAAAACCATTTTTGCAAGTATTTTCTGTCGTCTGGTTTTGCTACTATCGGTGTAGGGAAATTCCTACACTGAAAGTTGCAAAACCGAACGATAAAAATGCCTGCAAAAGGATTTTTTTATTGTTACAGACGTCTAGAAGTCAATTATTTTATTGCCAGCAAAAATCAAAAAAAAATCATGATATATGAAACAATATTTTGAATTTGACATGTTACACAAAAGCTTCCACCACTTGGACATATATAATGTTTTTCACCCCCTCCTATGCATCTAACTGCAAATAGCAAGCAAAAAACAGGACATGCCACTTTTTGCAGTCAGCCGAGGGACTATTATAACAAGATATATTGTAATTCTGCAGAACGCTTGCAAGAAAAACAATAAATCTTAAGATGAGTTATCTTTACAAGCAAGGTGCAAAATGTACCTAAGAATATACTTAACATTACCGATTTTCAATTTGATAAAAATTTTCTTGATGGTATAAAAAAGGGACTAAAATTTTAACTTTTAATATTCGGATCAATCATGATTATTTTATTCATAGTTTTTCCAATAAACGAATGTCGCATTGTCAGTGAAATACCCTGTATATTAAAAGACTTTAAATGATTCGCGATATATAACTATAACGAAAAATGGAACATTAACGTTCTCTCAGGTGTTGTGAGAGACCTAGAAACCACACAGTGTATCGTAAAAATTTTAAATATATCTAGATTGAAATACGGAAAAACGGGCTGCTGTACTTAAATTAAATTGATAATTTCATGCTTGTAGATGGGAACAATCGAAGTAATCGTTACACTTTTGATGGAAAAATTTGCGGTTGATCAACAAAAAGTAATTATTTTAATAAAGAGAAATCGCGCCTATGCTTGTCAATATATATTATAGTCCCTCATCTGACTGCAAAGTGGGGCTTTGCTTTTTTGTCCGCGGTTTGTACTCTGGTGCAGAGTAGGGAAGTATTGACAAGTTATACTATGTACGGGCATTAAGAGCGATCATGTACCTTGTGAAATATAAAGTAAAATTTTACATCAATAGATTTATTATATTCTTTCAGACGAAATGTCGAGAACAATATAAAAGTGCCTTTGCAGGCATTTTATGTCGTCTAGTTTTGCTTTTCCGGTGTAGGGATCTCAGCCACTTAAAAAAATAAAATATAGCATAAAATCTGATTTTATAAACCTTAGATGATATTTTCGTATCCGAGAAAGGGTTGATATACAAAAAAAAATATTTACAACTTTAACTGTCCTTAAAATGTTTTGAAAATTTTTTTAAAAAATTAGAATAGTCTAATTCAACGAATGGCGTAAAACTACTAAATAAAAAATTTCCTCAAGGGCCATACACTTTGTTAAGAGACATATAAGTCATGTGACAGCAATTGAACCTCTTTTTCCCTTTTGGTCTCGACTTTTCACCTATTTCAAAAAACAGGTAACATTTCTCTAGGTTGTACAGGCCTTTTTTTGCATATCAATCCTTTAGCTGACAAAATACCCGTAACATCATCTTGTTTTTAAGTTGTTTTCAAAAAAAATTTTTTATGTTATCGACGTCTGAGTGCATAATATATTTTATTGCGGGAAAAACAGCAAAAATCTATCTATGCGAAATTACTTTGAATTTCATAGGTCTCGTGATCGCTACTACCACCCGGACATAGTAAAACTTGTTCTACCCCTCCCTCATATGCAACAACAACCGGGCAAAAAGGCAACATATAACTTTTCGTGATTAGATAAGAGGCTCTTTGACAGAGTTTTAAAGTTTATCTCTCATATGTTTACTTGCTTATTTAGTTTTTAAGGAGGTCCTTTCGCCACACCTCTCGCCTAAAATGTAAAAAAAAAAGTTATTAGATTATGACTAAAATTAATTTTTTTCTAATAGTTGAAGTCCTTATTTATCTAATACTGAACTATACCTTACCTTGCAAATTTTTAAGAATTTTTTTTTTTTAGAAATGTGAGTATTTGTACAGTGCCTCACGAGAAAGTAAGTCCTCAACAACAATTCTCGAATTATACTATTATTTATTGATTAGATGGAGTAGAAAAAAACTAAAAATAAGGTTTTTAAAATATTTAGATTTTGTTTCATACAATAAAATATATATAGTAAACCGTAGAACTTATTGATAAATTAATATTAAAAAATCACAAAAAATTTTCAAGTTACCTAGTTGAAAATTTTTTGTGATTTTTTATTAATAATTTCTCAATAAATTCCACGGTAACCTATATATTTTATTGTAAAAAACAAAACCTAAATATTTCAAAAACCTTATTTTTAGTTTTTTTCTACTCCATCTAATCAATAAATAATAGTAAAATTAATTATAATTCGAAAATTGTTGTTGAAGTCTTACTTTCTCATAAGACACCGTACAAACACACACATTTAAAAAAAAAAAATTTTCAAAAATTTGCACGGTAAGGTATAGTTAAAAGTTCACTATTAGATAAATAAGGAGATCTACTATTAGAAAAAAATTAATTTTAGTCATAATCTAATATTTTTTATTTAACATTGGTGGCGAAAGGACCTCCTTAAGGTACTTTTGATATTAATGGAACTCGAGGTTAGACCTAAAAACCTTCTTCCATTTACACTAAATTTAAGATTTTTATCATGCTAAATCTAAATCCAAATCCAACGCAACACTCCCACCATCTAATTTAAATAAATTTTCACCTTCACATTTGGATGCAGAATTTCTAAACCTACCATTTTTCGAAACATTTACATAAAAATTGATTAATTATACTTTTGCAATTATATAACAAAATCTGGTTTAGTCGAGAATTTTCTTCAACTTGGCGTCAATTAATAATCATTCCAGTTAAGAAATCAGAAATTCATTTAGGGCCATATCGTTAACTTATACACTGTACAAACTAATAAAAAAAATGATCAATAAACGATTGACTTGGTACTTAAAAAAGTTTAAAATGTTTATTGAGGCACAATCTAATTGTAGAATAAATCGCAATACTATGGATAATCTTGTCTTTCTTCAAACTGAAATTGGGAATAGCCAACAAGATTCTATTTCAGATATTTTTAATATAAAAAGTACCTACGATATCACATGGAGATCCATTTTCCTGAATTTTTAAAGACTTTGGGATATCTGATAATATGAAAAATTTCGTAGTTAATTTCCTAACTACTAGAACCTTTAAGATAACAATAAAAGTAACCAGATTTTGTTCATCCACTATTGAAAATGGAATGCCTCAGCGTTCAGTTTTGAGTCCCACCTTATTTCTTCTAGCCATTATTGATATTTGTTTCTTCATCCAACAACCCATAAATGTGCTCTATATGCAGGTGATCTTGTTCTTATCTAACAAGGTGAGAATATAGCCAGTGCTCCATATTACTTTAAAATGCTGTGGGCTAGAAGTATAGATTTCAGTTTTTCAACATCAAAATCATAAGGTATGAAATTTGGTAGAATAGTATCTTCATCCTTCATATAAACATCGTTGTACTAAACAATGTTACTTATAACAAACTTATTGGCCTAATCTTTGATAGTAAGCTCACTTTAAAGCGGCACATACAAGAAACCAAAAGTGTCTATCTTAAACGCTTGAATACTGCAAACACTTTATCTCACTATTATTGGGAGCCTGAGGAAGAATCACTACTGGGAATTTATAGAGCTTTAAACCTATCCAACTTATATTATGATGGACCTGTTACTATATATGTATCTAAAACATCTTTACGCACCTTAAACACTGTTCATAATTGTGCCCTGCGACTGTGTCTTGGAGCTTTTAGATCCAGTCCACTGATTAGCCTTTATTGTAAATCATACGAGCTTCCTTTACATTTCCGTCATAAATTTCATTTACTGTTATATTGTACCAGAGTATTTTCAAACTCAGAAAATCCAGTATGAAAACTTCTCAGTCACTCATTAAACTATAATGCGAACTCTTCCAGAATTCCTTAACCTGCTCTTCACATCAAAAAGCTCCTTTTAGATAATATCGAGTTGTCCACTTCTATTTATTTTTTTCGTACTCCTTCTTGGACTAAAAATCTACCTAATGACACTTTATTATATAAATACTGTAAAGAAAATACCACCAGTATACTTTATAAACAATCTTTTAAACGAAGTATCAATACAAATTATTTCATTTTTATTTTATTTACTTCCAAAAATTAAAATGGAGTAGGTGGCCCAGTAACAACCGCTGAAACACCACTAGTAAAATGCAGACTTTCAATCAATCGTATCAGTCACACAAGCGAAGTTTTTAGCATCCTGAAAGTTTCGAAAGATCATCAAAAGGTGGCCATCTGCACTGATTATCTTTCATTAATTCACTCTATCCGCTAGTTCAAGAAATTCATGAATTTTGCGATAACACCAGTCTTTTGGTAGAAAGACATCAAACTTCGAATCCTACGAAAAAGCATGTGAATTTATTTGCAAATTTTTTTAAGTTTTTCACATTTCTATAACTAGTATACATTTATTATAAATGATCTAGGAGACATACAGTACAAAAATATTATTAAAAATACTTTTATTATATCTACATTGTTTTCAGCTATATTATTCCAATTCAATAACTTTATTATCTAACTTATTTTTATCCAATTCTATCTTTAAATCGTCCAAGTTTTTAAAAAAATCATGTATTATACTTTCGCAGTGACTTTTGGATGGAATTGATGCCTTGTCTGCAGTTAAGCCAATGTGCAATCGGTCATCATACGTGAGTATAGAAAAACCAATACCTAAAAATGAGTTTGAAGGTAAATTTTAACAATTACATAAATGTTCCTTCTTGACCTACCGTTGGTATCTCTTTGAGGTAAGAAGAAAAAAACATCATCGACTTCATAACCATTGCAAATATTTAGTTTAGGGAACCCTGGTAAGTTACTGATGCCTACTGTTTCCGCCATGGGAAATAGCCATTTGATAATGTAGGTTGGAAATAGACCCATGAGGTTGAACAAAATAAATGAATCTACCTAAAAATATCGGTTCAAACAGTAATGCGTCAATATATCGTGTTAGTAGTTAGTTTAAATCTTTAGAATCTATTCTGTCGATCTGTCTGATAGAGTAACCAGACATTTACCATCGGGGTGATATAAGCTTACTAAATAGCCACTTATCCTGACAAATAAAATTCTTCCTATATTACAGATTTAACAATCACGGTTATTTTATTTAAAAAAAATTGTAAATACATTAGAGTTATCTCTGTTTGTAAGGTAAGGATGGTGGATTGTTTGACAGTACTGAGACCTTACTAATCCCATTGTTTATCTTCTTAAATTTATAGGCCTCTCTTAGCTTGTCAGCCAGCCAACCGAATTAATGTAGTTCACAACGTCGCCGAAAGGTACCTCTCTTTTGTTGGCCGCTTAATAGCCAATATTTGCCAATATTTGCCAAACAAAAATCTTATGCTAGATGAGAGTGTTGGGCAATTATAAAGAATATTCTCAAAAATTTAATCTTCTTGTTGAGTACGGAGTCTGACAGTTCTACAGAGGGCTGCTTTCGTAATTGGCAATGTCCAGTAAGAATACTGATCAGGCGCAGAATATGTCCAGTCATAGTCAAGTATTTATTTGCTGTAGTGTTTTCAGGGCAACTTAAAAACTCCTTTGCAACTTTGTAGTTTCTTTTTTATCCCACCTTTTCTTTAATTTCTCAAGGAAATGTTCTTTAATTAGATTTGTCACGACTGATATTGTTGAGGAAAGGGCTAGGTCCAAAAGATATTTGGTTGGCTGCCTTCTTGACTAGTAAAACAGTTAGACGAGTTTGACTATATTGTTGATGAATACTTCGACAAAAGTATAATTACATTCGAGTACTAATCCTAAATGAATGGTCTGTACAAGGTGAGTCGAGCTTGTTTGCTATGTATAGATTAATATATTTTTTCCAGTTATATTATTTTTGGTAATTTATTTTGCTGCTACAAGAATCCTTTTCAGCTCATTTGGAGCTATATTGACAATTTTATGTTTAGGTTAAACGATTTTGAGCATATTCCACACCTTGTGACTTGTTTTGTTTAAGAACCGTCGAGTCGGTCTTATGAAAGGCAATATTACGTTGAACTATGACTTTCATAGCTCTGGTTTGTGTGCTTTTTATGGCTCATGTTATGCTGAGATATTTCCTTTTTTCTACAATTACTTATGTTAACGATTACTAATCTCAAGTTGGCATTGCAATGTTTCTGATAAGTGAAAGAGATAAATGGGCCAGGATGCCTTTCGTTTGAGCTCAGTGCGCTCATAACATTCGACGTGTCGGCTCATACCGTTTTAGAGATATAACCTCCGAAAATATGCGATGCAATATTGACGGTAGCATTGCATTGAATGGTCTAGGCTGGTCATAGAAACTTCTGAACCTGATTTAGTAAGCAATGGGCTTTATGGGCCAACAATTTATTTCGCTTGGACTTATACTGTTTTCGAGATATGGCTTCCGAAAATATCGATGCCATCGTGTGTATACTCGATAAAAAAAAATTAAACACCTTTTTTCTATTTTTTATCAAAATACGGTTAATAAAAAAGTTTCACTGTTTCGTTTTTTTGACAGGCATATACCTATCAAGACTAATAAAATAACTAATGGAGACGATGATAAAGTATCTCCCAGATGCTTTGACTATGCCCAAAATTTAATCAGCTTACAGCAGGATGGATTAAAGCTTAAGTTTAACATTGGGTGTTTCTGTCTTTATCTGTTTTTAAGTTATCTTCAAAATTCGAAATTTCGAAATCATATATGAATCAAGAATATTTTCTTAAAAATTCAAATAAAGAGCACATTTTGGAAAATTTCTCGACTACGGATCATTTGAGAAAAATTATGTGTATAAAAATAAATGAATAATACCATAACAAGCAAATTAAATTTAAAGAATTTTCTTCTCTAAGCGTTTATAACAGATATATTTCATAAAGTAGAAAAAACGACCCTTATAAAGTACCCCCAGATATTTCAACTATGACCAAAATTTTACCAGCTAACCGCACGATGGATTAAAACTTTTTTTTTAAATTTGGTACTTTTCTGTTTTTCAGTTTTTGAGCTATCTTTAAAATTCGAAATTATACTTTTCCTCAAATATATCGAATATATTTCATTATATGTATGAACCAATAATTATAGAGAATCACATCACAAACAATTTTCATTTAAACAATTTTCTTAATAATTTAAATTTGTCATTTTTTGTCAAATTTCTTGAATACGGACCAATTAAGAAAAATTTTTTACACAACAAAAATTATAGTGAATAATATTGCAAGCAACTTTTTTAAGAATTTTCTTCTGAACACGTAAATATCATTTTCCATAAAGCAAAAAATGATTCCCAATAAGTACCCCCCAAAGGTTCCAATTTCGCCCAAAATCTAATCAGCTCACCACAGTATAGCTTATAGCTTAAATTTAAAATTTAATATTTTTCTGTATATCCCTTCATGAGTAATCGAGTATACACACGATGGCATCCTATATTTTCGGAGGTCATATCTTGAGAACCGTATGAGCCGAAACTAAACAAATTGCTGGCCCATGAAGCCCATTGCTTACTGAATCAGGCTCTAGTTTGTATAACCAGCCCATTCGTTGTGATGCTACTGTCAATATGGCATCCCATATTTTCGGAGACCGTATCTCAAAAACTGATGAGCCCAGACGAAAGTAATTGCTGGCCCATTGAGCCCATTGCTTACTGAATTAGGCCCAGTAATTTGTAAGATCATTGAGATGCTACCGTCAAGATGACATCACATATTTTTGGAGGCCATATATCGAAAACGCTGAATATTATGGAGCCATTGAGCCCAAACGGGAGGCATCCTGGCCCATTTGTCTATTTCCATTTTTAGAAACGTTTCAATGCCTACTTCATCAGCGATTATATCATTTTATAGAGTTTCTCAAAAGGGATAAACATTTTTGATAAAAAAAAAAAAGTCAAAAATCAATACATACTAAAACCAAAAATTTCAGAAACTTCGATACGTAAAATATTCAAAAAAATATGTAATACAACATTAAACACAATAAAAATGCAATAAAAAAATCATGAGTAAATAAAACAAATGTATTTTTAAAAGGAAAGAATAACTATTATACATACCAGTGGTAAAACTGAATTCAACATAGGCCTGGCCCTTTTTTTCAAAATATCCAATCTCTTTAACATCGAGTTAGAATTAACTATTAACGGCAATTCGAATATTATCATTCCGAACTGATTTCTTAAAATCGGTACATCATTTACAGTCATCGGTTTCAAATCTTTAGTAGCTACAATCAATAGAAGAACAGAGTCAGGAATATTGATAGTATTCTAAAATATAATACCAAATTAAAACAATTTAATTTACAATTGGCTGACACAGATAAAAATGAGACTATGTATATCTTTTAAATTAACAAATTAAGGAAAGCAACTGGTAAACTACGTAGTGATTACTGTTGTTATTATTATAAAGTTAATATGAACACAATAAGTTGAGTATATTATACATTTATAAAAACCATCAAGTACCAACTAAAGGACAGTGCATTATGTTATGTTATGTTGGAAATGGGGTGTGAATACTCTGCGATCTAAAAGATCTATTGTGCTCCCTTCTGTCGCTAATGTACCAACAAAATGTCTCAATGCCTATAACGACCCTTTCAATCCTATTTTCTTAAGGAACTGTAGGATTTGGAGTGGCTTAAGTTAGGTAAATCTCCCTCTTCTATTTGATATCCTATTAATATAGTGCCTTGGATTCTGGAGTGCTACACACTCAGTTAGAATGTGAATGGATGTTTCGTCCTTTTCCTCGCAGAATCTGCATTTACTATTCTCTACTACTCTCAGTTTACTAAGGTGTCCTTTTAGTCGGCAAAGCCCGGTAAGGATCCCTGTTACAATACGTAGCCTGTTTTTGCTTAGGCAGATATAGGCTTCCGATATTTTCTGGTTATATTCAACTAGAAGTATCTTAGCCTGTCTCAGTTCCAGGAGATTGTTCCAATTATCGGCTCTTCTACCGCCCAATTCTTTTTTAATCTCTCCTAATATTATGTTACTGCTAATACCTTGCAAGACTATCTGCAATCTCGTTACCCTGTACTCCTTTATGTCCCGGGACCAAAGTGAGAGTAACTCAATTTTTCTCGCCTAGCTCATTCAGTTGTTTTAGACATCTCCAGACCATTTTTGAGCTGATTACGTAAGAGCTCAGCGCTTTGATGGCTGCTTGACTATTGGACTTGATGATAATCTCTTGTCTATGATAGTTTCTCTTGATGTTAAACTGGATACACTTCTCGATTGCGTAAATTTCCACCTGGAAGATGCTTGGGTATTTTCCTAAGCTCTCGGAGTGCTTGGTTCTTGGCCCATACACTCCTATTCCAGTTCCTTCTATGGTTTTGGAGCCGTCCGTATACCACTGAATAGCATATCTTTCGGTTGCAAGGGCGATGGATTATTGGCTCCATTTTTTCTTGCAGCCTAGCTGTGGTTTTGAAATTTTTTACGAAACTAAATATCTTTAGCATTTAATCCTGGGGCATGTCACAGGTATCTTTAGTCCTAAAGCAAGTAGACTTTCGTCTGATTACTCCGTTCCTGATCATTTTATATCGTGTCCTTTTTGCCAATATCAAATGTAGAGGGGTGAGATTTGAGATCACCTCCATTGCGGCCGAAGGGCAGGTTCTCGTTGCACCAGTAATGAAAACACAGGCTAGTCTTTGTACTTTTAAGTTATTAGCTCTCGGAGTAGCTAAACTAGTTCTGTTACTCCAGGCTATAGCCCCGTAAGTGATGATTGGTCAGTGCATTAGTTTCATTAGTTTTTTTTGCATAGAGTTGTGTTTTGGGGTACTGGCAGGTGTATATGAGGTCAATGATGGAGTCTTAAGGCACCCCAATTCGTAATGTAATTTAATATTATTATGATAATTTAGCTAATAAGTTAACTTCTTTTTTCTTTTTAACTTACAAGTAATTGTGAAAGAATCGGTTTTATTATTTTTGATTGGTTAAATAACAAGAACATATAAACTTAAATTGCCAGGAGAGGCCCAAATAACTCCCAATATTACCCCTACGAAAAATTGAAAATTATTTTTAAACATTAAGGAACAAATTTAAAATAAATTCTGCCCGCGGGGATTTGAACCCACGTACTTTAATTCTACGCACAATCGCTCTAATTAAGCTATCGCTGACATTCTCAGAAATTTACAAATTGTCAAAATGAATATAAGTTTTCGAACCCAACCTCGCGTAACAGAATATTTTAAGTCAACAAACTACTGTACAGCATCGTCTGAGGAAATATTCAACCGCATGCAGACACTTCCTCATGTCATCTGAATGTATTAAAATAATTTTCATTATTTCATTAACGTAGTAATGTTATTTGGAGATTTCCTGGGAATTCAATTACAAATAATTACCTAGTCTTATTTTTACTGTACTTGATCTGGACACTGTTAATTATCAATGTTATAATATTACTTACTTTCAAAAAATGTCGATTTAAGCTTGCAGAAATAGCAGCTATCAAAATTTCAGTAAAACTGACATCGCCAATATCTCTTTTCATAATTTTAATTTTCTCTACCAAACCCCTACCATCTTCGCATTTGTAAGCAACATTTTGTTTATGAACAATATTCGGCGCTTTCCATAATTTTCTGTTAAGTTTTTTTTGTAAAGATGCAATCAATAGATGTCCTGGCACAATCATAAATAAAAGAAGATATTTTGATAATTTTGCAACTATATTAGATTTGGGGCTTCTTGGAATATTTTTTAAATACATTGACAGATCCATGACTTGGTCACCAAAAGAGTTCGCTATTAAATTCATCAATGATAATCCATCGGTTACTGTATGGTTTTCTCTAAGGATTATAGCTATTTGGTCCTCTTTTAATCCTGATTTATATTTCCATTCAGTTGTTGCTTGTATAACTATAATTTCCCACAACGCTTTACCATCTAAGGGTAAACCTTTAGAACTAAAGTCATAGATAATGTCTTTTATACATGAGTATTTAGTTATTTGAGTATCTATTATTGTTATAAAATCTTCAGATCGGAATTTTTCTTTTAGAAAGTAAGGATAACCTGAAACACAATTTATAAATAGGTTTGAAGTTTTATTACTACTATTACTCAGGTCTTCGATATTATCTTCAATCTACAACTGAGTCTGATCTGAACTAGCGGCTCATAAATTGTTACATTCATACTTCCATGCAGTGGCGTAGCCAAAAATTTTTCATGGGAGGGGTTTCTGAGAACTATGGGGGAAATAACTCAGATAAGATTGTTTTTATTGAAGAAAAGTAAATAAAAACAATTTTCTTAAAAAACGATAAAAAAAGAGAATAAAAACAATCATTTTATAGCAATCTGCGCCAATACGATGGCGGAAACGATGATGCGAAGCCTCCCCCCTGAGTGGGTTCTGAACCCCAAACCCCCCTCCTCGTGGCTACGCCATTGCTTGACATTGACAAAAAAATATTATTGATAATAAACCTACCTAAAAAAGTATGTAGCGAACACAATACTTTTGCATAATCTTCGGTATGCTTTAATAGCTTTTCTTCGATGATATTTTTTATTTCCTTTACAATATCATCATTGGGTTTGTCCTTTAGAATTGTCAGGATGTAACTTTGGTTATGGAATGAATTTCCCACTGCCCAATAAGTATCAGCACTTTCTAATAGTATCAGTCTTGTTTTGTATTTCAGTTTTAAAATTGTATGGATTATTATTTTGAAAACGAACAGTAAGAGTAGAGTTGTTAAATAAATTGGTAGTAGAATTATTGAGATTATTATGACAGGTACTAACATGGCCGTTGTTGATTTTTGAGTTATTCCTGAAATGAAACAAAAATTATACATTAAAAAAATATTGGAATGTCTTGGCAAAAGACAAAGTGGTTACCATTCACAATAGTCAGTGTTAGGGGGTTATGACTGACAACCTTATTATTTTATAAACACAGAGAAATAACAACCTGTTCACAGATAATGTGTCTTTTAAAAATAACATTACTTGTCCATCATAAATTTAGGGGAAAATATTTTTTTGCCAGTTTCACTCCCTGAACAAAAACTCTTTAGCGGGGGTAAGACTCACCCCTAAAATCTTAAATGGAAAGGGGGATCGAATAATATCTCATTTTGAAGGTATTTTTACTTAGATTATAACCTTGCAGTTTTACATCGCTACTCTCTACGTATCCCATACAGTGGCTCACCAAAAGTACAAAACGGGTTTAACATAATTTTTACATTATTATTAAAAAAAAAGGAATTTTTTGTAATAATTCCAGTTTTATTCCTGTGGCCTTTAATTATTATCAAATGGCATTCTTTAGTCGCGCCGTAAAGGAGTATGGTTTAGTTTATTTATAAAAGTGGCCTATAATGGTTCACTCAATTGCTGAGATGGTGCCATTAAAACTGCCCAACTGTTTAACAGTCAACATTAAAATCGACTAATCCATCGAAAGTATATTTTGGAGTAAGTCTAAAAAAATTTGGGAGAAGGGGTCAGTAGGTAACAAAAAACGTGGAATGGAAGATGTGGAGATTTTAGGGCATGTTGTTTAAGAACCCACATTGAGTACAAGACAGTTGGCGATAACATCTGGTATTAAGAGAAGTAGCATTTAGAAGACTTTAAAAAAACACAAGGTTCATCCTTACAAAATACATCTGATACCAGAAGAAGTTAACGAAGACGATTTTGACTGGCGATTACAATTTTGTGAAATTGTGACTATACGGGCAATAAATGGTTAGCAATTTCTTTTCAACGTGTTTTTCTGACGAATGCACTTTTTTCCTAAATGGTACGGTAAATCATCAAAACTGTAGGTATTGGTCTGATTCAAATCCCAGAATATTTTGTGAAGTGCATATGCAACTTTCAGAAAAACTGAATATTTAAGCTGGCATTTTTGGTAATCTTATAAATGTCCCCTTTTTTATCTGAAACTTTAACCGCAGACATGTATCTTAAATAATTAAAAAAACGCCATTTATACAGCATTTCTATAGTTGATTGAGAATGACGATCAGTACATAGCAAACAACTTAATATTCCAGCAAGACGATGCGCCACCCCATTTTGCACTGAATATTCGTCAGTATTTAAATCAAACGTTTCCAGGTCAATGAATCGAAAGAAGAGGAAGTATTGAATGGCCTTCCAGGTCGCCGGATCTAACCCCGTTTGATATTTTTATGAAGCCAGTTAAAAACTAAAAATGTATGCAACCCAACCAACATTACTGTAAAATCAGCGACAACGGATAATTGATAAACGTCATCAAATCAGCCCACAGATTCCTCAAAATGTCCGAGATCTTTTTGAGGAAATTCTCTATTATTGCATGGAGGCCCAGGATCTGCATTTTCAGCATTTACTCGAGTAACTGGTAAGCATTTAAAGAAAATAAAAATAGTTAAAAAATCATAGTTAGAAAGACAGTAGCAATTTAAAACTCGGAGGTTACAATCTAGGTAAAAATACCTTCAAAGTACGATATCATTCTTCTTTCCATTTAATATTTAAGGGGTAAGTTTCACAATCGCTAGAGGGTTTCCTTTCAGGGGTGAAACTGGAAAAACAATTGCTGTCCCCTAAAATTAATAATTTACGGGTCCGAACGTTTTTACTTAAATGACCTGGGGTACCCAAAATTGCCTCTATTTTGTTTTTAAATGGCCACCCTGTATATATACAATACTCCATTATATGTGTAATAAAACTTCTAAATTAATGATAATTAATAAATGTTTTATATTGTGTTTCTACTAGTTTCATTGGTACTCTAGCATCGCAGCACCACTGAATACCCCGAAGAGCAGTGGTGGTTTCACCGAGCATAAGGGGTTGCCAGATGTCAGATATCCCGATTTAGGTCGAAGTCTCCATCCTACCGATTGTTGATACTCGCGTCTGCCGCTTCAATCCTCAAAACTCCGGCTATTCGACATTTGACAATACCTTTTTTTCCAAGAAAATTATCATAAAATCAACGCTTTAAATGGCTCTTAAAAAACCAGTAGTGACCCTAAGTGAGGTGTGAAGGGGGGTGGGGAAAGCCATCATTTTTCGCATAGAGTCCGGGCACTTAAAACAATTTTTGAGTTCCGGCGCCTATGATCATAATCACTTCCTTTTTTTATTTTTTACATTTCTATTTATGACATTTTAATAGTAAAGTTTAAAAAGTATGACATATTAATAGTAAAGTTTAAAAAGTATGTTTAATTTGTTAATGCAACAACCTGATGCAGTTTATTAAAATTTGATAAAAAATCTGATGTGTCCAACACATGACTTTCCTATCTAGTTATTACAGGCTTTTTCCGGTTATTTTGTACAACCTATTGCAGCACCTCCATAAATGTTTAGAGGATAAAATAAATATATACATTTTCCACATACATCTACCTCGAAACATTTTTCTATAGATATTCATTGAAAATAAAAATACTGAAAAATTTAAATTTAGCACTTTTCCTACAATTTTCCTATTACGGTCCATTTTAGAAAAATCATGTATAAACAAAAATTATAGAGATCGATATCGCAAACAACTTTTATTTCAACAATTTTCATAAAAATCGGAATTTTGCACATTTTGTCAAATTTCTCGAATACGGACCATTTCAAGAAATTTTGACATAAAGCAGAAATTATAGATAATAATATTAGAAGTAACTTTTATTTTAAACAATTTTTTTCTCCAAACATAAATAACAGATATATTCCATAAAATATAAAAACGGCCTCTGATAAAGTACCCCCCCAGATGTTCCGACTTTGTCTGTCCAAAATCTTATCATTTCACGTCAGGCCGAAATAAAAGTTAAGTTTAAAATTTAATGTTTTTTTCTTTATCCGTTTTTGAGCTTTCTTCAAATTTCGAAATTTACACATTTTCTCAAATATCTCAAATATCTCAAATACGGTCCATTTTAGAGAAATTATGTATAAAATAAAAATTATAGAAAATTATATTATAAACAACTTTTGTTTGAACAATTTTCATAAAAAAAATATTTTTTTACATTTTGTCAAATTTCTCGAATACGGACCATTTTAGGAAAATTTTGTATAGAACAAAAATTATAGATAATAATATAAGAAGTAACTTTTATTTAAAGAATTTTCTTCCCCAAACGTATATAACAGATAATATATTCCATGAAATATAAAAATGATCACCTATAAAGTACCCCCCAGATGTTCCGACTCTGCTCAAAATCTAATCAGCTCATTTGACGCTGGAACAAAGCTTAAGTTTAAAATTTTGTGTTTTTCCGTGGATCGGTTAATGAGTTATGCGACACACAGACACACACACACACACACACACACACACACACACAGACACACACACAGACACACACACACACACACACACAGACACACACACACACACAGACACACACACACACACACAGACACACACAGACACACACACACACACACACACACACACACACACACACACACACACACACACACACACACACACACACACACACACACACACAGACACACACACACACACAGACATCATCGCGAAAATATTCAAAACGGATTCAGGGGACCTCAAAACGTAAAAATCCATCCAAAACTCGAGGTCGAAAAAATCATGATTCCTATACTTTCCTTATATCTGTATACAGATAGAAAAGTAAAAATGTATCAACCATGTCACTTTCTTTTTGTATATTTTCTTTTTTTAAGTAATCTGCTAATTATTGTGATCTTATTCTTTGATTAGTATTCTGTCTACATATTGCATAAACATTTTTACAATTATTGACAAAACACCTGCATCACTAGACTTGTTTTTAACCGACCTCTGACACCGCGTATTCAACCCTCGCCGAGAATTTCTACCCCTTTGCTCAGACCCTTAATCCCCCAGGTTTAGCGGGATCCAGTCAAGTTTCAGCATATTGTCGTAGAGTAATCGTGAGGTAAGGGAACGCTGTTTGTTGCCGAGATTAAATGGCATTATTTCAAATCTTCGGCTGATGTTAAATGTTGACAGGAGAAGAAGCGTTTGCAGGAATCTCTGAACTCTTTAAATCCTTCTTGCCAACTGTGTTTCCATTTTTTAGTTTTTTATTTATATATTTAGATTTAAAATGGAGTCAACAAAAATCTATATCTCTTAATTTTATGAATATGAAGTTCTTGATGATTGATTTATAGCCTAAAAATCTAACATTTTTTTTACTCTTATGGGACACGAATTTAAAAAAAAAATGTAGGTGTAGAGGTGAACTAGCTGTTAAATCTTAATTTTTTGATAAAGCAATTTGTTAAACATACCTAATAAGAATAATATGAGTTACCTACTTAAACAAATAACTTCTAAAACCTTAAATTTCACTCTAACCTAAACATGTCAATATTAAATATATTTTTCCGTCGACCGACCATTTATGGTGTATTTTAACGCACTCAAACTCATTAATTAATGACCCCTATTAATGGATGATTTTCTATTATTTAACGATTTCATTACATGCAACCCAACCTACATCGCTATTATTATACATTTATATTGACAGTTACCTATGGTGTAGGCAACCAAACATACATATTCATTTAAAATCAAGAAGGTGTGTTAATAATATCTGTCATTGTATGACATTATTTAATTTCTTAAAAGTAAGATATCTTTATTTTTGAGAAGTACGGTGGACGGAAAATTTCTGTAGCTAACTCGTGAATTAAAATGGCGATTAACAATCTCGAACATTAACGCGCTCGCTCTGCTCGCGCGTTAAATTGTCGTGATTTTTAATCGCCCTTATTAATATACTTGTTCGTTAAATAATCATTAACAGTCGATCAATAATACCTACATTATGCTACAATATTTTCTCTTAAAAAAATATATACTTAATTAAATATAAATATTTATAGACTGACTTACCTAATAATAAAATAATAGGTCAATTATCCTTTTAATAGGTATTATTTATATTAATGGAGTATTCAAATTCATCTTACAGATAGGTACTACAATAATTTTTTATTAGTTCAGTTCTTTGTCACTAGCACACCTTACAAATAAACCAATCAATCTGTGTTATAAATATATACTTACCAAGATATCCTTCAAATTCATTTTATTATTTACCCACCCAATGTTTAAAGAATACTAATTTTCTATAAGTGATGTCTCTTGAATAACGTATTTAGTATTTTAATACCTATTCCAATGTCGTACATAGGAAAAGAAAGTAGATATTAAATTTATTATTACACCATTGATAGAGTCCGGCGTACCAGGTATTATTACAAATAGTTTACCAAAATTTCATAAAATATTAGAAAACGTAATACTTATTAAGGAATCAATTTTTGAACCACACAACAACCGTCTATTAGATTAACTACTTTTTGGTGGTACATTTCATAGATAATGTTTCGGATTTCATTTTAATTTCCTACTGATATAAAATGGGGTAATATGGAATTTAAATTTTATACGCTCACATTATAATAACCAATGAACCCAGTGCCAATGCGAAGGTTGCACCTTAGAGCGTACTTATATTGATATGTTACGTGAAATTCTCGTTGCCATATTTCCATTGTCATAGATGTTAAAAGCCAAAATGTTCAACAATGCATGATTGCCATATTATGGCAACATGAGTTGGGAAATATAGCAACATGTGATTCTCGTATAAGAATTAGACCACAGAATAACCTACCTATTACAGAAGCGAAGGCTTGCATCGGCACTTTGATGTCGAGGTGATCCAAATTTAAAGTGACACTTGGTGAGTTGACGTTTTTGCCGGTTGTTACACTGATAAAAATGAACTAGATTTGTATAAATTCTTCGAACATATATTTCTGATGTATCCTTGAATCGTTCATGGATGCATTTGTAAACTAATCACTGCAAATGTCGATCCGTTTATTCGTCCGTTGTTTAATCAGCGACTTGTACTTGTTGGAACGCAAAATGCAATGGAATTGGACAAACCAAACATATGTTTGGTGAATTGGTATTTTAAACATTATTTTAAATAGAACAAAATATATTTATGTAGCTGTCTTGAACGCTCTATGTGAATGTATAACTTTGAAACCTTACGATGTGTATTTTTCTTAAAAATAAGTATTTATTTTACATTAAAAAAAAACCGTACACAAGATAAAAACAAAAATTATTAATTTTAATCGAAAGAAATAGAAACCCAGGTCACTTCTAGCTCACTTAAAATCCTAACAACTTAGCACGAACGAGAAGAGACGTTCAAATGCGCATGTGCTAATAAATGATTGCGATGAAGCTCTGGTCGTTTTGACAATCCGCCGACTTATTCTTGTACGAATTTAGAAAATACGTTGGAACGTTTTACTGACGGTTCATGGAATTATCCGTGGCTTTGTAGGAACTGACTATTTTCAATGCGTATGCTTTTGACGTCCTTCTGATGATCAGATTCGTTGTTGGAACAAAGCTTATATGTTAAAATAAAATAAACCAAAACAGCACAAAATTGTAAAGTATCTATTTTTCACGATTATTCGGTCTATATATGAGATTATGAATAATTAATTAAATTTTAATATTTTATTATAAAAAATTTGCGCATTTTATGTCGAAGATAATGAAAATGTCATTTAAAAAGAAACTCTAGTTTTTCCTTAAATAGTATAGTCATGTATGTCAGAATCAAATATAAAATACACAAGTAACATCAATTATTAGTAAGAAATAAAATGTTTTTTATGTAATTCCCTTAAAAGTATTGATATACGGTTACGATCCTGACTCATAATAAATTTAAATATTCATTACACATAACTGAAAATGGAAATAAACACAAAACAAATAAAATTTACATGCAGAAACTAATTGAGAAAATTTTAATTGATTATTTATGGGTACATACACAAGGAAATAAATACTACATGCAATTCAAACAATAGCGGCCATGGTGACACGATCTCTGGTTGTATCGAAGCTTTCAGTTATTGGGCTACTTCTGTATACAGTGTGGAATAGTCGAATGGAATAAATTTGGTAATAAATAAATGGGGGCGTGTTGGGAAAAACGCTGGAATAAGTCGATTGGTATTTTTATTTGTGCATTTTTTTTAACTTTTTATACAGGGTGTGTCATGTAGCAATAGTCAATACCTACTTTCTTATTTTAAATGCAACATCCTGTACATATTTGAATTTTTCTTTAGAAAATTCTAGACATATTTTATGTACTATGTCCTATACCTAACTGTTTCGAAAATATTAAATGTTTTCAATGATTGCAAAAATTAACAATAATAAAATAAAATTAATTGACTACATTAATTCATTACAACACACTTAAAAACTAATAATAAATACTGTTTATTTCTTGATAATGTAAAAAAGACACATCTCAATGTAGGAGATGTTTAAAATGCTCGCCGCGAACCTCTTGTCAATATCCTAATCTGAAATAAATATGTCTTCTAACGTTAAAATTTTCTTCAATTCGAACATATGTGGTTTTTGCTCTATAATGCCGAATTGTGGAATGAGGAAAGAAAACTTCAATCACCACAGTCCTTTATTTTTGAAATAATAAGAGGCGACGGGTTTCAGTCATTGAGGGTACTTAATCATCAGGCTTAATAACCAGCTAAGGAAATAAGATAAGGAGACAAAGCGATAAGGAGATAAGAATATAGGTTGATAAATAAACGACTAAGGTAATTACCTAAGTTTATTTTTTCCCAAAATTTAATATACCTCAAGGACTCAACCATTGTTTGATTTGTCTAATATTTTCCTAACTTTTGATCATACTGTTCAGGATCCCTAATATTTATATTAAAATATTAGTTTTTGAAATTCCTGATACACTATCGATAATTAGAACTTTCGTCGTTTCTGTTATTTAAGTGTTACAGGCAGACACTCATACAAAAAAAAAATTAAGATTACAGTATATGCTTGTTATCATCTAAGGAACAAATGTACAGAAAAAGTAATTGTTTTAAACAAAATAAGATGTATTGTCAGTGTCACAAATATTTTTTATCCATCATCAACTTCTATTGGGTATTAAAAATTCATGGAACCATCATTGTTCAAGAGGGTTATTTTGCAAACATTTGTATTATTGGAGGTCATAGAACCGAATCTTGTAGTTTGATGGACTTAATTCGCACTGTATTTGGACATTTTAGTATTCTGACTGCAATGCAAGAAAGTTATGATTATTTTCGTCAGCTCTTGGTTAAAGTCTAGAAGAACTGCGATATATGCTTTGTCTTATCAAATAATATTTTCACTTACAAGAGCTAAAGCAGAGGAAGTACTGATATTTTTTACAACTTTGATTCGGAAATTTAACAATTTTAAAGTAAGTTTTATTTAAACCTGATATGATTATTGCGTATGATAGGCACACTAAAGGAAAACATTTTATTCAATCACAAAAATTAATTCAAAAGGTAGCGCTCTATTTGACGATGCCAAAGCAAATGGAATCCGGAATTTCCATCGCAAACAAAAACTTTTCCATTTGACGTCCATTAAAAATGTTATCCCAGTAAGATAATCCCTTAAGATGCAAATGCCTTTATGAAGAATTTACAAACTTCGTAAAAAATTCCAGATTTTCGCCAACCCAGAAGATTCCTTCGATGATTTGTAAGCACGTCTCATAATTCACTTAACTTTCCCTAGCAGAAAAGATCAAAACAAGAAACTGTAGGCCTACTTGATGTGCAGAATTTTAATTTGAAACATAAGATGGCAGCCAAGCCTCGATCAAAAACGCAACTTAGAAGGGATCGGTTTCTTATTTTCGGTTGAACAGTAGCGTAGCATTAATAAATTTTATCTGACTATATTTACGGTTAATGTAAACTAAAATAGATATAAACAGTGACCATTCTTAATATTTAGTTATTTTAATATTTTATGCCTGACATCGTTTTTAATGAAGTATATTGTGATTACCACAAAACCAATATACTCAAATCAACATGAATACATCCCAGACAGATTCACCGATTTCGTTTTTTACCTAGTTGGTGGACGGATAAAGAAGTCACTGGAGAACAGAGTCTACCTTGGATATTTTGAATAAAAATTAAGGTATTATACACGTTATTTCTTAAGATAAAACACTCAGTATCTAATATGAATGTTTAACAGATGGCCATTTTTACTATTTCGAGTTTTCCGGGAAGCTTATCGCGGAAAGAGTGCCAAGTTATTTTGGAATAAACTTGAATAAAATATTGTGTAGTCAGAGTTTCCAAAATTTTGAATTTTTGTTGTTTAGAGTTTAGAAACAAGTAATAAATATATTTTTTGAGAAAATTTAAACTAATATGGTCTACTTAAGGAGTGTGAGGGGGAACAGAGAGGGAGAAAATATTAACACATCTAAAAACGTCGAATGGCTTTAGTTCAGTAGTGCGACTTCTTGAGTTTGAGGATTGTTGTTGCTTCGCTCATTAGCGCATTTCAAGATGGATTATACTTGTGAAAAGTGTAAATGTTTGGTGATACATGTGATTTAAAAGACAATATGGTGCCAACCTACAAAGATGTCATTAAGTTCTATGAGTGGAATCCTTGCCAAATAAAACTGAATCGTGATACAAAAAACAGTTCACGTATAGGAAAATAGAAGCTATTGTTGCTGTAAAGGTTGCAGAAATATAAGATAAGACTTCTATTCCTACTATCCAACATAAATGAGTGAGAGTTATATTGAAGGTATTATCACCTTAAATGAAAAAAATCTCCTAAAATTCTATCCAAAAATACTAAAGACGAAATTATAAGATTTCCACCACACCAGTAAAGTTTTGTTTGATAGGTATTTCATTCTAAAACCGTGAGAAGAGGCCTATTTTTTAAATCCATTTCTGCGGTGTTACGCGAGGTATCTGTAGAATATATGAGCACTGGCCAAAAATATCTGTAAAGAATTGTGTTAGCAGTGACAACAGGTAAATTTCCTATCAATTTAGGAAACGAATCGCCAGGGAAAATGTCCCATGCCCGATGTCTAACTCGCGTTTGTATGTTGCGACAGAATATTATTCTGAAAACATAGTGGTTCCT